AGGGTTTCTATGGCATCTCGACTTCCCAACAAATTAAAGTGGAACTTGTCTCAAGGATTTGAGACAAGTCGTCTTTTATCTAACGAAGTGAATGAATCTCAATAAAATTCATAGGAAGCCCCCCAAATTTTAAATATCATTGAACTTAAAAACAAAAAGCAGTTAAACAAAAGTGAGTATACAAAAAGTCTCTAAATTATTAACGCTCTAACATCAGGAAGCAGGCTACACCAATGCAAAGAATAGCAAAAATTATTTCTCATAGAAAAGAAAGAAAGAATGAGAAAAAGAGCCCAAAGTACAAAAGGTAAAGTTAAAAGCCACAGAGAACGATTCCTAGGGAACAAATTTAAACCTTAATCAGGAAGATGTATTGCTTCCAGAGCAAGAACTTAGGACGTATGCCGGCTCTATTTAGACTTGCTATGGACTAGCGACTATTATATGCCTTCTATTGTCTTGTTTTGAAATTGTATTGTTTAAAGCAATTGTCCTATTTTTGTTTTACTGTTGTATGTTGGGACAAGGGGAAGGTCACAGATAACTTATCTTTTTAGTTACAGGTTTCTACACTCAAGAAACTACATCAGAGAAATATCATCCTTATCTGGAGATCCAGTTTAGAGACTTAAAGTCTGAGTTTGATACCATAACAAGATAAGCTATAGGGGATCCTGAAAGTCAATAATTAGTTCAATGGTACAACTATTTGAGACCAACATGATGTAAAGTCCAAGTTAGCTATGTATAGAGGTCACATAAAGAGAGATGGATGCCTGGCCAGCATGAGCTTTCCAGCTATCCAAGCTGATGTTCTAGACATGTGAAGGAAGATGCCTTCTTGAATATCTCATCTCCAGCAGCCTAGGAGGAGTCAAGCAGCCGAAAGTAGCCCAGATTACAAGATCATGATAAATAACAAATTGTTGTTATTCAAGTCACTGAGTTCTGGGGGTGTTGTTTTGTTTTGTTCTTGTTTTATTGTTATTGATCCTTTTGATGCAGAGACAGGTAACTGAAATGCTGTGGCTGCCATGTTGAGAACAGGCTGTAGTAGAGATGAGGGGACAAGCAGCAGGCACTTTTGCAATAATACTGTGAGACATGACAGCAACTTGAACCCAGGTGACAACAGTGAAAAAAAGGGTGAGAAGAGATAGGATGTGGCGTATATTTTGAAGTCCTAGCTAAATAATTTGGTGGCAGATTCAACGTGGAATATGACATAAAGAGACGTTAAGGACAAATCCAAGACAGATTGATTGATTATCTATGGAACTAAGAGAATGAAACTGCCATCAAGTAAGATGAGGAAGAAGGTGGAGCAAGCAGATATGGCAGTAAAGGCTGGAATCCAGTGAGTACTAGGCATCCAATCAGAGGTGGGTGAATAACAGATAAATAGACGGCTAAATGAGTCTGGAGTTCAGGGGAGAGGTTATGGCTAGATTCACATGTACATTTGTGAATCATCAATGTAAGAAGGGATTAAAAACCGTGACACTAGATGAGATCACCAAGACAGAGAGTACAGATAGAGAACAGGCCTAAGGACTGAGCCCCCAGACTGCTGTATTTACATGTTAGGGAAATTAGGAACCAGCCAGAGACTGAAATTGTTGCTGGTAAAGTAAAAGGAGACTGAAATTGTTGCTGGTAAGGTAAAAGGAAAATAAGGAGAAGGAGAGTGGCTTGGAAGCCACATGAAGATCTCTCAGGTCCTGCTGAAAGGGTACATAGGAAGGGACCCAAGAACTAACCACTGGATTTAATAAAAAGGATGTTCTTGGTACCTTCGACAAGTATATTTCTAGTAGAGAAGTGGACATGACAGACTGCCTGGTACAAGAGAGAATGGACAGAGGAAAACTGGAAACAGAGAATATAGTTAATGTTGTAAGTTTTCCTATAAAATGTGGGCAGAAAAAAACAGATATAGAAGTGAGGAGAAGCATGAGGAGAAAAACATGAGTCTTTTTAAAAAATGGTAGAAATTATAGTATGGCTACATGGTATTGGGAAAGACCCATAAGAGACAGAGAAAAAAACGGTGATGGAGAGAAAGAATGAATTACCAGAGTTATGTCCTTGAGCAGAAAATGAGAATGAAACTACACTCCTGAATTAGCTGTGATAGATTTTTAGCTGGTTTCCTTATCTCTAATTGTCTTTTCTTCAATAAATTCTACCTCAAACTAATTTCCCTAAAATGCTACTTTTATTACAGTATTCCAACATTATTTTGCTATATTACTTATGTTTCCTACCTCTTTTACAGTTGTCTGCTTAGCTGTCAAACACCTGAATGATGACTGACTCTTACTGAAGTCAATCCTAATAGACTCTGACCAACCCTCTGCTAAGCACATGGAGCACATTGTCCTTACTCAAAATGTAAGTATAGAGACAGACACATAACAATGAGTTTACAGACATTAAAGTTGTTATGAGGGAATGCAGACTGCACCAGAAGAATTCATGTAAGGTAGAAAATAATTCTGCCTGAGCAGTAGGTGGGGACAGAAAATGTTATAGAGGGTTAACATTTTGAGTAGGACCCAGGAAGGCTGACAAAGAATGGCAAGTGTGTCTGGAACACTGAGGCAGGGTGACCATAGCTGAAGAGGAGACTTCACTGCAGAGGCTACCCAAGCCCTTTTAGAGCTTATTTCCCACTAGTCACCAGTAGGAAACCTCTACAGAAGTTAGCCCAGGCTCTTTACTGCTCCCCATCCCACTCCCTGTGCTTTGCTTTAAGCACAGTAACCCATGGTAATCCAGAAGCCAAAGGGAGGGTGTGGGAAAGAAGGCTGAACTATATATCCCAACTGAACAACACACACCTCTGGCGTACCCTACAACATTCCCAGGGGTTTGTGGGCATAGAGGGTTCTAAACGAACCAATTTCAAGATCCATTACTTGCACAGGAGCCCCTTTTACCAGAGATATGCCTGATATGTGCCCAAAGCAGGCAGATTTCTGGCAAGTTCTCCTTCCTCACTTCCTCTTTCATAATTACCCTTCTCCCACTTTAGGAAAGAAATGCCTCTCTCTCCCTATCCAGAATCTTAACATATGTCTTGCCTCACCAGGATGCCAAATAAAAGGGCGATTTGAAAAGTTGATCTAAGAGACATCTTTAATCAAAGCATTGACATATCTACTTGTATGATATGTATTTCCAATGTTGTTTTAGTTTTATGCTTAATAATCACTTACCAAAAATTAATGGTTCCTTTGATTAATTTTGTAATGATAGTATTTTAAATAACATAAGCAAGAATAATTTTCCCAATAAAAATCCTTCAAATAAAAGATCAAGTTTTACGTACTTATTTTTGTTGCAGATGAGTCAGGAGAGCAAATAACCTAAAAATATAAAATCTTTATCAAATGTTCAATTAAGAAATAATTATTTGATAATTTTAGAGGTCAGTGCTAACAGTGTGCAAGGACTACTTTGTCAAATTTCTATTAGAAGGAACATGAGCAAAATACCTGGGAAGGAGAAGTAGCATTCAGTGATATAAAGGACCAAAGACCCTCTCTGGGCTCCTTTGGTGTGTCACAATGGCAAGCAGAGCTCACCCCCACCACCACCCCCCCCATCAACCTTACAACCATCATATTTTCCTGTTCTAGAACGATTTGCAGTTTCAATTCCCTCATTTCACAAAATAATTTGTCACTTTCCTCATCTTGTCTGTATCCTGTCAGCACTTGGAGGAACCATTAGCATTTAGAAAAGAAACAACTGTGTATTACATGCAGACTTTTAAGAAATCCAATTTTATCTGGTCTACATAGAGTCTTCTGCCCCTACAGTGGGATGAAACACTGTGAAATAAGTGCATACAAATACTCTGGCTCTGGATGTGAAATGTGGACAAATAATATCATTGAACTAAACTGAGATCAAAGAGCCTCTTTTTCTTCTCTTTCTGACTCCAGCACTAAACAACTTTTTTATTTAAAAAAGGGCAATATTCTGCCCAGGCGCGGTGGCTCAAGCCTGTAATCTTGGCACTTTGGGAGGCCGAGGTGGGCGGATCACAATTTCAAGAGATTGAGACCATCCTGGCTAACATAGTGAAACCCTGTATCTACTAAAAATACAAAAAAAATTAGCCAGGCCTGGTGGCAGGCATCTGTAGTCCCAGCTACTCAGGAGGCTGAGGTGGGAGAATGGCGTGAATCCGGGAGGCGGAGGTTGCAGTGAGTGGAGATTGCGCCACTGCACTCCAGCCTGGGAGACAGAGCAAGACTGTGTCAAAAATAAATAAATAAATAAATAAATAAATAAATAAATAAATCTATATTATTTTACATAGGCAAATTAATAAATAGCATTAAATCACCCCAAATGGTGACCAGGGTCTATTTCAAGGTAAGGATAGCAGCATTTTAGTTTTCAGTACACTGTGAACACCTGAGTTTTCTTAGAAGAGAATACATATGATATCCAAAAAGGAGCATTAACATTAGAATCAAGATAAATCTCAGTGGAGTGTCTGTCTTACCCAGTTGTGTCCTAATGCAAGTGAAACTCTGCATGCCTTTTTTTTGTTTGTAAATTCAGGATAAAAATGCAATGGTTATTCAAATTCAGTGAGGACATACAGATGAAGGGCCAGTATGGTGCCTGAAACATAGCACAGGCTTCCTCTTTGTAACTTTCAAATTCACATGAGGTTCCTGCTGGAATGGCACTGTTAATAACAATAATTTCTGTTTCAGGCTTTCTGTCAAGATTTCTTAGCTACTTGTGCTTACCTAGTCAATACAGTCTGGAAGCTGAGTAAAAAGTAGCCCTTGTCTGCCCACAGCTGTTAACAAATAGTACAGTACAAAATATACATACACACACATATATACACATGTACAGTATATATACACACATATAGGCATATATGTACACATATAGACATATACTTGATAGTATTTAATTAGTGAAATTCACCATCAAGTCGGTGTTAGTTAATGCATTCCAGTACTCACTAAAACAATTTTTCCTTCAACTCCTTTATGGAATGTTTCCATCCAACCCGTTCCTATAGGACAGCAGCAAGTATTTAAGCGATGTTTAGTGTCAGTAGTCTCATGCAGTTACTGTAATCACTGGGTAAGTGAATCAAAGAGCTAATATTGAGTAAAAGAACTGGCTTCTTGCCAACCCTTCTACCATAATGCCTTCTGAAAAGAGGACGTCCCAAATGGTTAACCATATCATCACCAGTTGTGATATTATGGAAACCTCTTCTCTGACCTCTCCATGAACCCCAGCCTTCTAGTTGTATGGATGAATGGATACATAGATAGGCAGAGACAGATATCTAGATCAATCCACATTTGCCTACTATTTGTCAAGCTCTCTCAGCAAAAAGTGATGCAAATTAGACAAATGTTTTCATTCGGGGACCATAAAGGAAATTTCTCCAACGAACCAAACACATACTGATACTCAAATGAATATTATTTGATTAGAAAAATAATCTTTAAATATATAATAATGTCAATTGCACAAGTGCCATACAAACATTACTTTACAACCAACATTCTACCATTACAACGCTGCCTGAAAATAAATAGGGATTGATTATCACTGTCAAATTGTAGGAAATATTTTTATGCAGATAATACCATCCTCTATAAATATCAACAATCTTAAACTTGTCTGAGTTGGAATTTCAGCTCTACCACTTTCTAGCTCTGTGACCTTGAGAATTTCCTCAGCTGTAAAATATATTGCCTACCATATAGGTTTATTGTGATGTTTTTAAAAAATACATCCTTAGAACAATGTCTGATACATAGTAAAAACTCAACAATGTTAGCTATTATTCATACTGTTTCTCATAACTTAAGTTATGGGTCTGAAGACAGAACTCTGTATTATCATTAGCTAACCCTCAGAAAAATAGTTAACACAATGAGCAGAACTCAACATTAAACTCCAGGACAGATGGGGAGAAAAGGACAGTAGTCTGTATTTCTAAAAGATTTAAAACTGTTTTGGGTCAGAGACCTATTTAAAAAGTTGATCAAAGTTGCGGATATTTTCCTGAGAAAAATCCACATGTACCCAGCATTTCAGGGCTCCTTTTCTAGCTATCCTGAAATCCATCAGAGGCACCAAATCTGAGATGTGTATCCCGTAGGCTTTAAAACCTTCCATTTCCAAAAGCTATTTCAATAAATTTTAAGGCACTGTTTTTCTCCATCCCGCAAGGAAATTTATAAACAAATATTTCATTGACAAACATTGGGCCTTGCAATATAGCTGTTGATATTTGTTACATTAATTTCAAGGATTAAAACAAAAGAGCATCATTTTAATCACCAGTAGTCTGCAGGAAAATTCCAACCAGAACTATAGCTTCCCATCAAGTTCTGGAGTTGCCACTACAAATCAAGCAGGGAACGGTGAAACCAAAAGTATGGGAATACCCTGCCTATCAGAAGTTCCAGACCAATGGCCAACTGACCCTTTTCTGTCACTGTTGCAAAGCAGATGATACTGCAGCAGAGGCTCTTCTGATTGACTAAAATTCTGTGAGAAAACAGAAACGCAAGGATACGAAACTAAGACAATCATAACGAACCTTAAGATCTCTACGATACTTGTTAACTTTAAGTAAAACTAGCTTTTTCTTCACTTTTTAGATCTAAATGGCTTTCGTTGTGTTTTCAGTTCTTCTCTTTATATATCTTTATGTTCCTTCCCTTGGATCTTGTATCTCCTTTCTCTGTTGACCACATTATTTAACACGAAAACAAGAAGAGTTTAAATTTTTAACCTGTATTGTATCTTTTTTATTTATTTATTTTTTTGACAGGCTGGGGTGCAGTGGCAGATCATAGCTCACTGTAACCTGGAACTCCTGGTCCCAAGCTATCTTCTTGCCTCAGCCTTCCAAAAGTGTGTTGTATCTTGATACTTTCAGTAGAGTGGTTCACCTTGCCTCCTCTACATGGCAGGATGCATAATCACCAGTTTATTCTGTAATAGCACAGTAAGAATTCAGTCTAGCTAATATGGCCTCTTTCACCACACTGACAAAATAAGGATGACGACCACTTAGTTGGCCACCACCAGTATCATAATATTAGAAAGTAGTTTAAAAATATGTAATGGAAACTAGCTGGTGACCACCACTTCACTTCCAGTTTTGAAATTGCTGACTCATCCTATTTAAGAATCTGTTGTAAGGGTCATTTAATAATTAGTTTGGTTTACACATACTTTGAAGTTAACATAGTTTTTAATGCATGGAATTACATAAAGTCAAATGAACTGTATACCCTAGTAACATGCGGTCTTAATAACACTTGAAAAAATTGGCTGGATTTTCATTTAAAAGCCACCGTGAATAATGATTTTATTTCAGTGAAATTCGCTCGTATTTTTTCCAAGTTCCTTTGGCATTCTAGATACACTATTGCTTCTCTAATAGATAACTGGCTGGCTCAGAGTTGGAACCAATACAGACCCAGGCCTGACTGCCAAGCACTAACCATTCCTGCAAATTTCTCTCCCAGAAGACGTGTGCAAGCAAAGAAGAGGGCGATAATTTGATTTTGCAAAGATAGAGATAGACGCGCACGCACAAACATCTGCACCGGCCCACAGGGAGTTTGGGGCGGGAGCAGTTAGGAAGCGGGGAGCTGCGGTACCTTTCCTTGGCCTTCCTGAGCTTGACTGGGTGCAGAACTCAGCCCTCAGGGCTGCGGGACAGCGTCTTCTCAGAAACCGGCAACTTGGCTGGGGCCACCAGACGCGCGTCCCTCACCCTCCCAGCGGAGCGCAGGGTGCCCGGCCCGCCTTGCGCTAGCCAGCAGGCTGGAACGCCCTAAGAGCGCAGCGCAGTAGGGAGTCGCACGCCAGGGGCAAAGGGATCTGCGATCTGCGCTCCTCCGGAAGCGGGAGGATGGCGAGGAGAGCCTCGGAAGTGTCATTAAAGTGTCATTAGGGGAAAAACCAAAAACTGAAGTTGCGACTAAGTTTTCCCCAGGAGAGGGCGGGGCAGCCGGGCCAGTTGGGTAGACCAGAGGGTAGCGCTGGAGCTGGGAGGGGCCCCGGGCGTAGGCTTTCGGGGGGGAAATACCATCGCCCTTTCAACCACCACCACTCCCCTCCCAAAGCAGAGAAGCCGAGCTCTGTACCTCCATTGAGTCCTGGCTGCAGGGTGGGGGGCGACAGCCACCGCAACCGGGAGGGTGCGGCCACCCAGTTCCCTCCCGGGGGACGCAGGACTTCGAAGGCAGTGAGCGAGTCAGCTGGGATTCCCCCGGGCGCCTTCCACCCGGAGTCCCAACCCCTGGCGAAAAGAAAAGTGAAAGAGAAAGAGCCGGGAGCTGAGGCGAAGACAAACACCTCCTGCAGAGACTGGGGGTGGGGCGGGTGGCGGCGGCTCCTGGATGACTGACTGCCCCAGGTGTCACTACTTCCCGGCCTGTTTCCGTCCCTGCCGGGTCCTGGGGCGCAGAACCTGCAGGGCGAGCGCAAGGACCTCGAGGAGCCCCAGCCCCGCCTTGCAGGAACACCAGCCACCGGCCTCCGCCTCTACCTGCCGGGACACCTGTAGAGAAGACAGAAGGACACTGGAGGGAGCCCACCAGCCGCGTCCCAAGCGACGGGCACCATGTGGGAAGCTTCCGCAGCAGAACCTGGAGACCTGGGCTGGGCTGGCACACATCCAAGTCTCCCAGAGGAAAGGGAAAAGGGTGTCGGAGCCTGATGCTGGGCGGCTACTCTAGACAGGCCTCTTGGTCCCCGCATAGGCTGGAAGAAGGAAACTTTGAGGTCCAACTAGAGGAAAAGTTGGAAGAAGACACCAGGGTGGCAGCTTTGTGCAAGACAGTTCCTACATGGAGTGAACTTACAGCAATGAGCCTCTCTGCGGATCACTTTTCCAGTCTGTTGTGTAGTCCAGTGTAAAATATCACACATGGTCCCATTTGATGGAACCGTGAGATGTTGTTCTTGTAGGATTTTTTACATTGGAGGAAGGAACTGAGTTGAAGCTGAGTGATTTGCATGCCATAAAGGCAGTAGCAAAGACCTCATGCTCAGTTTTGAAAGTACTTCGCAGAATCTTGCAAATCACTGAAATCCCTGAATCACTGAAAATCCCTATTGTATGGTGCTTTCCAAATTTTCAGAGTCATGGCTCAGAGAAAATGGTAAGTCTTCCCGGAGCTCAGTTTAATTTAGCTTAAAATTTAATTATGTTTTTTAATTACATGAATATAATTATCAAATAGAAAAATAATAGAAATTATTCAATTTCCATGTACATAAAGTTCCACATAATATCATTTCATATTTTTTATGAAAAATTTGGGTTTATTTTCATTAACTCAATTTTTTGATATCAGTTTTATATTTAAAATAATTACTGATGGACTTTTTGATGAGAATTCCAACTCTAGATAGTCTCCATTGACAAAATAAGTGAGGTATAAACATGCAAAACCAGTTTTTACAATCATTCAAAATTTCACCATAGTTGGAAATTATATGTAAGAATATGAAGCAATCATCCATTTCTGTTCATGACAATGTCATGTTGAATTTTCTTGTGATGGTATCAATGGATTTCAAGACCAGACAAAATTTTTCATAGCAATACATTGAAGCTCCGATTTGCAGAATGAGCATGCACTGGGAGAGCAAGACTGCAGCTGGATTGGATCCCATCACAAGGATATTGCAGCCACAGAAGGACTGATACCCACATGTGTGAAAATAGAGAATAAGGATGAACAAGTGTATTATGTGCCCCCACCTCATTTTGGACTGCTGTAGAGCTTCTTGGACTTCTGCCATGTAAACTCCTCTAGCACCTCCTTCAGCTCCTTTAATGGATACTGTGTTCTCTGCAGCCGGTGAATGAAGCAGGTGTGCCAGACAATAAGACACCTCAGAGGCCACACTCAGCACCACCTAGCAGAGCTCGATATCAGATATTGCTGCTGCCAGAGGACATATCATCACATCTCAGATCCTGTCTCTCTTGGGCTGCTCACGAAATCTATAGAAAGTTGCTCTCAGTTGGTGCTCACTAGCCTGTGGACTTCAGCTTGTTAGCTATCCGCAGGACTGAGGGATATCAGTATCTGACTGCATACTTTTAATACATTGAGACCACCAAGAATGTTCTGAGCTACTAGAGAGTTTTCACAACACTATGAAATTGATGGAAAGTTTACTTGTAGGGTGAATTTCCAGGCATAATCTGAGTATATAGCAGTAAAAAAATTGGTCTACAACTATTTATTGGGCTTCAAATACAGTAGATTCTAGAACAAGATGGACTGAATGATATATAAAGCATTTTGTCAGAGTAGGGAGATAAAAAACATAAATAAACATAAAGTACAACTAAAAAGTATTATAATCATAAGATATGCTTTGCTCTACTATTTGCCACCCAAATATGTTGATCAAATTTGTTTTCATAAATGCAGATATTTTAAAAGTATTTTTAATTAGTTATGAGTTCCCGCAGTTCAATAAAGTTGGGTTTGCACGTAATTTATTTTTGTTGCATTGCACTCAAACAGAAAAGTCTAATGTATGCAACTTGTGCTTTCAGTTGCCACAGGCTGTTTGGCAAAATATTGAAAATTACTCATACCAATGAACAAGTAAATTCCACTACATAAATTAAAAGCAAAGTTGAAGATTGATGAAATAATTTGAAACTGCTTTACAATGACTAATAAAATTACAACATAGAAAGAAGTGAAAATTAACTAAACCTCACAGAAGTGACCATAATAATCTTCTTGAATTCAAATAATTAACAATAAAATTATAGTTTAGTAAATTTTTAATATCTTTTTTCAAAGACAATGTCAATTGGGTAATCTTCTTTAAAATAAATTATTAATAAATGTTTTCTAACTTTTGTGATTACATGGAAGAAGTTACAAGTTATTTCATCTGATTTAGTGTTCAAAGTCCATGACTGTGGCCTTATTTATGGTTTTCCTAAGATTTAAACCACCCATCAAGAACAAGCTGATCCCCTGCTCTTTGGAAAACATGGCCTGCCTGGGTCCTCCACGTTTCCATTCGGGGTAAAGCATGCTGATGCAGCATTACCTTGAAGTTGCTTCTCACATGTTTTTCTGGTGATCCTGACAATAGATGGATACTCTTGGCCTTAAATGCTATTTAGGTTTTCAAGAGCTCCTCAAGTTGCTGCTTTTTCAGAACCACAGCAATATTAGTTAGGACTTCTGTAGTTCCTCCAATCTGCTGTTTCTCTAGTGCTGTGCTAAACACAAATGTTAACTTATTAAATCCTCACAGCAAACCTATGAGATATAAATTATTGTTATCTCCATTTTACAAATGGGAAAACCAAGGCCCAAAAGATTATGCAACTTGCCTAAGATCACATGGAAATTAGCTAACCCAGCAAGGATTTGAACTCAGACAGTGTGGCTTGAATACACATTCCTATTCTCCGGTGCCTCTAAATTGGCAACCATTCTCCACTGTTTCTAAAACAGAGTTCATAAGGAAAGAAGCCATGGGCCCTCAGACAGTATGTCTTGGTCCAATTTTGTTTGCTTCAGGGTAAATTTAGTCACCACCAGGGAGGAAACTCATCAGTTTTCCTTGAATTTCTGCTTCCTCATCTTATGTTTCTGTAATGAAACTGCAATAGGTATTGCATACCTGCTACTAACATAAGTTATTTGAATAAAGTGACTGGCAAAAGGCTGGCAGAACATTGCTGCAGGTCTGAAACAGAGGAACTAGGAGCTGGCAGATTCTAATAGACATGGATGACTTTGAACTGAAATGTCAGAGTGTACCCATGACAAAGAAGGAGAAAAGACGCCTAGTTTCAAGCTGGAGATTAAGAACAATAATAACTGTATTAGTCAGGGTTCTCTATGGGGATAGAACTAATAAAATATATGTGTATATGAAAGGAAGTTTATTAAGGAGAATTGACTCATGATCGCAAGGTAATGTTCCATGACAGGTTGTCTGCAAACTGAGGAGCAAGGAAGCCAGTGGTGGATCAGTCCAAATCCCAAAACCTCAGAAGTAGGGAAGACAACAGTGCAGGCTTCAGCCTGTGATCAAAAGCCTGAGAGCCTCTGGCAAACCACTGGTGTAAGTCCAAGAGTCCAAAAACTGAAAAACTTGGAGTATGATGTTTGAGGGCAAGAGGCATCCAGCATGGGAGAGAGATGAAGGCTGGAAAACTGAGCAAGTATAATCCTTGCTTGTTTTTCTGCCTGCTGTATTCTAGCTATGCTGGCAGCTGTTTAGATGGTGCCTACACATTAAGGGTGGATCTGCCTTTCTCAGTTCACTGACTCAAATGTTAATCTCCTTTGTCAACACCCTCACAGACACACAGAAGGATAATACTTTGCTTCTTTCAATTCAATCAAGTTGACACTCAATATTAACCATCACAATAACTTACTTAATTTTTGATATATTTAAAAGTACATGTTATCTTAAATGCATTGGTACTTAATGTGGGGGAAAGGAGCTTACGTAGAAAGAAGTGACAAGTTCATATGCTAACAGTACTATTCAGAACAGTCATTTAATGTTGATCTTAAGTTACAAAACATTAATAAACCTATTTAGATTTATAATCTGAGAGTTTATTATAAATGTATA